CAAGATTGATTTGTAAATTCAAGCAGCTAACTCAGATCTGATGTTAAAGGTCCTCCCCATCTGATAACTGAGACTTTTACAATAGACAATCTTCATGAGGATTGCTAAAATTCACCTCCAGGGTTCTCCAATCTCACAGACTTGTAGGAAAATAACCTCCTTTACAGTATTACACTCTGAAAAATCCACTTTCAGCACAGGAGCAACCACTGACTTACATTCCTTCTGCTCACTTTTTTTTTTTAAACAAATTCACCTGCAGCGACCAGTAAAAAATCTCCAAGAAAATGTTATGTATGCACATAACACATGCTGTTGTGTTTCAGGAAACTGATACAGAGTTCAGAAATCAGAGGATAAGAAGAAAGGTAACTCCACAACTAATTCTTCAAAGTAGAAGACCATGCACAAAAACCACTGACAGACTCCAGCCTTAGGAATTCCTTTCCATTCCACATTTGGCATCAAGTTCTTGCTGATTTCTGTACTCAGACATATTTTCCTTTAGGGAAAATACATTACAGTGAGAACATTGCCCATGATTTTATAATATGTATTTATGAAGTTAATTATACGCCTCTCAAGGCATCTGGGCAGGACAGAAATATCAGTCCTGAGTCCTAGTAGAGTAGGTTGCCACACTTAACATTCAAGGAGAGAACATGTCCTTCAGTTGTGATCAATGAGGGCTTTCTGATACTGCAGCAGGCGGTTTGAAAGACTTCTTTTGCCCTTTCTGCCCATTTGGTTTCCTCTCAGTGACATCAGGGCAGACCTACTGCGACAAACATCTAGCATAAATGAGCACAGATCCATTCAACTAGACTTGTTTTATCTATAAAAGAGCAATTGGGGGAGTACAAGATACAGAAATCAAAGGGTAGCTGGAGAAAGAATTAGTGGCATGTCTATACTTGGTAGGATGAGAAGAAAAAATTGAGGAAAGTGTGGCTTAGGTTAGATACTAGTACTTCATTTTGTACAGAGATAGGTAAGCACCAGAATAGATGCAGCCAGGCAGCTTGAGTAGTCACTGTCATTGGAAAGGTGTGATTTGGACAGGGTTGGCCAGAATGAAATTGCCTCTCCAGGGCTTGCAATTTACAAAGAGGATTTTAGAGAAGTCACAGATACACCAAGTTACAAGAGGCAAAATCTGGTGGACATTCATAAATTTTTTAAAGGCAAGAGAAACTAGTTTAGTGCCTCCATGTAGAAAGTGGGTTTGTTGGTTTCTACTTTCCATTTTAATTACTTCTGACTGACCATGTTGGCAAAATGCATAATGTCACACCATAATACAAAGTATACAGCACCTCAGCACAGGTCTTTCTCAGCTAAACTTTGGTAATTTTGTGAAAGAAAGCACAAATTCTCAGAAAAAATAAAATCACAGCATTATGGCACTTCACAGCTTTTCTCACTGATACCTCTAGTCATTTAGACATGCACAAACACAGGCTAAATGTGGCTCTCATTGCGGATGCTGCAGTTGAAGAACAACACAAGCCATCTCTTAGCACTTGGTGCATTTCTAATTAGAGCTACTGCACCAGCATCTGATGTTTTAAGATACTGTTGTAATAAATGCTGCAGGTATACACCCAGTATTTCATGTAGGCAGGCAAGATCTTGTAGACAAAGTCTGAGGGGAAGGAAAAAAAAAGAAAACTTTTAACTGAGTCCTGTAATAAAGAGTATCAGGGACAGAGAGGTCAAGAAAGCAAGCTAGATTAGATCCTTCAATCCTGCCTCCTTCACTACAAATGTTAATGACTCAGCATGCAGGAAAGGAAATCCTTGATTTTAAACACCATCTTAAGAGCAAAAATCTTTCTAGACTTTCTCCAGTCTTAAATAACACTTGACAGATTCTGGTTACCTGAGAAACCCCATCTTCAAATGACAACAGAGATTTAATATTTCAGAGATAGCTGGTTGAAGAGTTCAGAACGATCATTCATGCTACTACAGCAACTGGTACCACAGCTGAGTCTGAGATACAACAGTGCATATAGCCAACATATACACACAAATAAGAAGTCTCTGCCTTAAATAATCAAAAATGCAATAAAGGCAGAATTAAGTGCTCTTCAGAACTTCAGGAAATCACTGTACTCTTTCTCCTGTACTCTTTGATGAGAACTTGAGGCATTTTGTTTTGTTTTGGAAACACAGCCAGGAGCCTAAACCTAAAAATACACAGCCAAATTCATATTCTAACAAAGATATACCATAGATTGCAGCAGTGTTGCACTAGCATCTCCAAAAGCGTAACTCACGATGCTTGAACTAAAGGTGCTGAACCAGAACTCTGCCTCTGTGGTATTTCTAGTCATCAGAATCATCAGTCTGGACATGAAGTATGGACAATGGAAACGCACCGATGCTGACCTGACAACACAACAGGTACCTTTACATTCAACAAAGCTCCACAGGAGAGAGAGAGTTTGCTCTTGTTTGGAGATACAAATGCATATCTGAATATCCAAATAACCAGCCTAATTTTGAGGGTGCTGCTGCAGCACAAACGTAACAAGGACAGAACAAACACAAGCAGTAAATGCACCACTCCTTCCCAAGATCAGCTTTCAGGGGAAACCCATCAGAGAAGTGAAGGCTTTGGATTGTACACATAATATTTAGGATAGCTAAAACTACCACCAGAAAGCTGACCTCACCTCCCCGTGCATGCAAAGAAGAGACCAAGGCTGAAGCCATCAGACTCTCTAACACGTAATTCTCTGTAAGCTGCCAAGGTCTGCAGAGTGATTCTAGATCTGAGGTAGGATTCTCAGAGTGCATTTCTGCACAGAGAGGATAGTTTGGCTATTCCAACTGCAGAGCAGACAAAACATGTTTTGCTGAGAATAACTGAGAGCCCCTGCCAAGTTCCCTCAAATAACCTGAAAGAACAAGTCTCAAGTCTGGTTGTCTTGAGTCCCGCTAAGGTGCACAGGTGTAACTGAGGCAGAATGTGTCCTGCAAGCAGAGGCTGAAAGCACAGGATGATAACCAGTTTGCTGACAAAGCTCATGATGAGAAAAACAAGACTTGAAGTCTGTCTGCAGTGCTATAACATGCTGTTGTCTGGCTATTCCTCAGCCACTTCTAGAAAAGAATGGACTCATCTGCATTAGTCCGGTCATGCAGAGCATCAAAGAATCTTCTGCATTGGAAAGGACCTGTAAAAGCCATCTAGTCCAACTGCCCTGCAATGAACAGGGAGACCTACAATTAGATCAGGTAGCTCAGAGCTCCATCCAGCCTGACCGTGAATGTCTCCAAGGACGGGGCATCCACCACTTTTCTGGGCAACCTGTGCCAGTTCTTCACCACTCAGTGCAAAAATCTTCTTCTTTATATCCAATCTAAGTCTCCCCTCTTTTAGTTTGAAATCATTTCCCCTTCTCCTATCACCACAGACTGTGCTAAAGTTTGTCCCCTTCTTTCTTACAGTCCCTCTTTAGATACTGAAAGGCCACTATCGGTGTCCCCAGAGCTTCCCCTTCTCCAGGCTGAGCAGCTCCAGCTCTCTCAGCCTGTCTTCACAGGGAGGTGTTGATCAAGAATTTTTGTGGATGTGAGAATCTAACTCAAAATGCACACACTTGCTGTAGTCTCCTTGTGTATCATACAAATCTCAAGTACTTTTGCAACACAAATGGTAAAACTTGTTCAATAGCAGTGCTAGCCTTGAGACTTTCCCAATGCGCTTGGCGAAACTACAAATCAACAAAATAAAACAAGCAGGGGAGCTGTTCCATCTAAATGCAAAGCACAAGAAGGACATCAATCCATGGGTGCAAGTAATAGCCTTTTTGTTGTTGTTTTTGAGGTCTTTAATGTCTTTATGCTTAGGACTGAAATAACCGAGATACATTTAACGCACAGCACAACAGCAGCAATATGTAATGTTTCAAACAGGAGCATCAGACTGATCTCATCAGAAACAATAATTGTTTACCAGACACAAATACCCTGTAGGTGTTAAACAAACACCAGGGACTAATGTGCAAGTGACACAGAGAAAAGATTGTCTCGAGGTACTGCACAGCAGGAGCACAGCTGTGGAATTTCTCTGACAGCACTGTCACAGCTCATAACATGATCCTTTCAAACACATGCATTCGTGGCAGCTGTAATTTGTTCAAACTCACAATCTGTCACTTCACCCTGAGAACAGGAGGAGAAAGCAAGCCTGTGTTCTGTTTGCTTGCTCATATCTTAACCCACCAGCACTTTTTACATTTTACAGCATTTCTACCAAAACACTGTGCAGATATTAAGGATCAGGCAAAGAAGTGTGTTATTGCTGTTGCTTGCACACTTACAGCTACACGAAAGGCAGACGCACAGGCATCCCAGGGAAAACAGCATTTCTGAGATTCCACATCAGCAAATTCAGAAATACAGCGATTACAATTCAGGTACACAGATAAACCACTGGCACCATTTAAATGAACTCTGTGTTTCTGAAATGCCAACTGTAAAAAACTGCTGATATTTAATTTCATTAGATATACTGCATCTGGTGTTTATGGCTTAGAGCTGTTGCCAGAGAGCCCCAGGAGCTTCGGTCTGGGAGCCAAGCCAGTGTCTACCAACTTAGTTGGACTACTGTGGATACACAAAGATCCAATATTCCTCTGATTTAAAGCTTTCAGGCAGATTTTCAGAGATTTCTATTTTATTTATAGCTAGCATGTGTGGAGAGAAATAAAATGGTCATGTAACATGCTGTGCAATGGTCTTATTGCACATGGTCTTATTTTGAAGGCCAGAGTTGGAAATCTGGCTATTTCTACCTTAAACATTAAGACAGGGATAGACACAAAGAAAGAAAAAGCCAAGAACAGTCTCATCACAAACACTATTAACTTACGTATTCATGCAGATGGTCATCGTAACTGTTACAGTCACTTAACAGTTAAACCTCTGCCCTCTTTCCACTCCTTATGGCCCACATTGATATCTTTATGTTACAAGGAAACTCTGACCTGTCTGGGTGTTCTAATCCATGAAGTTTTAATATTCTCTTGCTTGAAACTTGAGTAGGTGCTCTCCACCTGTCCTATAGAAAATCAGAAGTCTGTTCATAAAGTGGGCAAAAAATGTGTGCTCTAGTGGAAATAAAACCAAAAAACAAAAACTGAATTAGTAAAAACAAAGAGTATATTCCATCTTCAGAATATTTTAAGCATCTGCACAGACAAAAACATTAAATGAAAATGCACACAATTTTATTTCACAGGGATGCGTTGGATGCTTGGCCATCTGCTGAAAATGTAAGGCTGCCAAATATCACAGATTCACACCTTGAGTCTGGAAATTGAGTTCACATGGCAAATCCATGCATCTCTTGTGGTGCCTGCATTCCACCAGCCCTTCCTTGACTGACTACTTAGTTTTTCACTTCAGTGACTTCTAAGCTGGATTGCTTCACAGTTTTTGAAAGAGCAGAACCCAATCTTGCAAAGTCCCACTGACTACTCTAGAGCTGCTAGTAGGGTGTATGCTAGACATAATTTTAGAATTGGGGAATGTAAGAACATCAGAGTGCATGATCACAGCCCCTGCTCAAAGCTACTGGCAACTAGAAAGGAACGGTGTTATGCAGTCCTAGAAAAATTCTTCCCTTTATTCTTGAAAAAGTAATCAAAAGGAAAATCCTTAAAGATTGAACCTTAATGGGCCATTAGCTTAAACAACAAAAAAAACCCTGAGACTTCCTTGAGGATCTCACTTAACACAGCCATACTTCTAATTCATATAAACCTATTCCTTGTGTCCAGTTAACTGAGAGCGTGTGACCAGTGTCCTCCTAATCTAAAGGGAGTTAACAAGATCAGGACAAAGGCAACAGCAGCATAACAAAGTTTCAGGCAGTCTCACTTAAAATATCACACAGATACATTATCTGGCCACTGTCTGTAGCTGATTGCTTTATGGTGAGATTCGCAAGACAGAGCAAAAGTCACCCTTACAGTTGTTGAGTCTGGCAGGAAGTACATTCCTAGCACCCACTGGAAATTGGCAAGACAACAAATATAGATTGCACCAGTTAATGCTCAGAAGCCTACCTACCATTAATGTTGGTTTTCATAATGTTTCCTGGTACATTAAAGTCATTTTTAAGCTCTTCAATTATTTACCAGATAGATAGCTAATTAGCCAGCCATCCACTCACAGATTTTTATCACTGAAACTCTGGCATACCTCCAGTGCCCTCACAGCTCAGAGCTCTGGAGTCCACATCTAGCTAGAACACAACTACACATACCTCTGTGACTGCAGCTTATATTGCTTTACTCCTCCCTGAAAGCAGACTAACTATTGCAAGCACTGCCATCACTATGCCTACAACAAAAGGCTGCAAAGTTAAAGAAAGTAAGGTCCAAAAAACTGGACATGCATTCAGACTCGTTGCTTTCACTAAATTATTTGTTCATAATTGTTCATTATTCGTCTTGCCTGACCCACCTAGTTCACAGGTAGCTCTGGTAGCATCGCTGAGCTGTGCTCACTGCTCCACAAACTCATCTTGTGTAACAAAAGGCACCTCATCTCCTTTATTTTATGTTTCGATGCCTGTAAGGAATATTTCTCACTGAATATCTGCCTCCTGGGGTCCAGGACACGTGCTGAGTGATGTGCCCTCTTCTGTGGATTGCAACAGAAACCTCAAAGAGCATTTCTCAAGATTAAACCTCACCTGTTTAACCTGCAAAATAGGAATAAGCCTCACCAGCACCTTAAGATTTATGTTAAGAGCACTCACGCAGTAAAGCTTGCTGCCTTCCCTGCCCATAATGGGACACGCATAGCACCCCCTGAAATTAGGAGGTATCTGTAATACCTTCTCCCTTCCAATCTGTTGCCATTATTTGAAAATCACTTCCTCCTCATCTCTTCTGAAGGTCTTCTGGTTGGTTTGCTTTGGATTTTTGGCCGGTTGGTTGGTTTTGTTTGGGAGGGAAGGCTTGGTGCCGATTCCTGCTGCCACATTTGATTTGCAGAACTCTGCAGTCACATAGCACACCATCCGTCTGCTCGTAAGCCAAGTGGATTTCCCAGAAGTTGAGCTTTATCGGCTGTCTCTTTCTGGGGCTTTCCCAGTGGGATAGAAAGAAATTAAATTTAAACCCGGCTTTAAATTATTCAGAGGTAATTGAGTCTGGAAAGTCATACTGGAGAACGATCAGCCGGTAAAGTAACAAAATGCGATTTTGGGAGAGAGGAAATGGGGAGGATTTGGGAGAACTGACGCGTCACACCAGGCACAACGAAACCGCTGCTGTTATCGCTCCTTGTAGTGCAGGGCACGAGCTGCTCCTTCATCCTGGCGATGCGGAACGCAGTTCCCTGCCCGCATCGCTTCTCCCAGAAGGAACCGGCACCGAACCGCGCTTCGCGCCGGCACCTCTGGCCAAACTCCACGTCTCCACCGCGCCTGCGCGCCCCCGCCCCGTCGCCAGGACGACAGCGGCCCGCGGCATGTCGCTGCCCGAGCCCCTGCGGCGCCGGCTGGGCTCCTTCAGCCGCACCGTTTTCACCGACAGCCGCCGCGCCGGCCCGCAGTACCCCAGCGAGCGCGCAGGTAAGCGCGGCCGCCCGCCAGCAACAAAAATGGCGGCGGGAGCAGCCGGGGCGGGGGAGCGCGGCCCTTCCAGGAGCCAAGATGGCGGCGTCAACGGTCACCTGGCGGCCGTCAGGGCGGGGCGCGCTGTGGTTTAAAAGCGCGTGCGTTTGCATAAAGCGTTACGGGTAAAGTCCTTTGTTAGGCCGGCGCCAGGCTGCCAGAACGAAAAGCATACGGGGTTGTAGAGAACACCAGGAGCAAATAGAAGAACTGAGCTGCTGCTCTGAGCTCAGCAGCCCTCACAGAGGATGGACTGCAGTGCGTGAAGAGGTGTGCCCGTAAGCTGAACTTAGACAGAAGAAACTCAGACTGCAACGTCCCTGCTTTCTCCTCCCTCATCCAAGTCTAAAAGGACCATCCCTAATCCATATCCATAAGCAATGAGAGTTTTTCCTTAGTCCTATTGCCAGGGAAACCTGCAAACAGCCCACAGTTTTATTCCTTTGCAGTGACGGGAGCCATGGAAATAAACTGTCTGCATAGGCAGGTTAAGTTCATGGAGGTTAACATGAATTTCAACCGATAAACCCATTCCAAGGTGATTAAAGTTATTTCAACACTCATTACCTTTATGTAGTTGTGCCAGCATAGCTACACTACTAGCATACGTATCAGTACCTCCTTTCATGTATCAGACAACACTGAAACATTCTCTAGGCTCCCAGAACAGCTTCTCTTTCAGTCATTTCAGTCTTCTTTTGTGAAAATTCTTACGAGAAGCCTCAGCTTATTGAAAGCAATGGCAAATGTATCATGAATTTCTTTGAGGCCAGGCATTCAAGTCTAAAGTTCACACTCACATATTTCAGGGAGTTGCATCAAATTTGCCAGTGAAACACAGCCTGGCATTTTCCTGTATTTTTGCTATTCTAGAAAATAATCACAAGTTCAACTTAGGGATAAAAAGATGAATTATAATTTGCTTGTATTTCTATGCATTCATTCAAAAAATAATTTTAAAACTTGAGCAGAAATTAAAAATACCAATACTGGGTCAGTTCAACCTTTAATGTACCACAATATTTTCATCATCACAATTTAAATTAGAACTCTTGGCTTCTCTCTTTTTACGTATGGCTACAAAGCATTGCAATTTCATCTAATACAAATTACATGCAGAGAAGAAACAATGTTACTTGTGCTTGGATGGTCTTGTTTTTTTGAAAGATGAATATAGAATCATAGCATCCTTGGAGTTGGAAGGGACCTTTAAAGGTCGTCTAGTCCAACTCTCCTACAACAAACAGCTAGATCAGTTGCTCAGAGCCTGGTCCAACATCTTTTAAAATTGTATCTGAGTGTCCTCACAAGTCCACAGACTGATTTGTTAGGAGAGCTGAAATAAATTTAGACAGACATTAAAATTGGTTTTGAAGTACCTATAGATTTTCATTCCTTTGTAGATGTAGTAAAGTGTTGATGCTTAAAAATGGGATTATTAAAAATAGATACTGGTTTTCTCGCACTTTCTATTTCAGTTCAATCAATTCCTGCCCCTCACACCCTGTCCTTAAGGTCTGTCCCAGTTCTATTCCCAAATACTCCTCCCCTCCTATGTAGTCTAGTAACTACCCTGAATAAATGCTCCTGCATCTGGCATAAAGACTTCTGGAACAGATTGTACCAGGATGCATGTGGCTGAACTGGAAACAGGAATGCCAGACTGAGATGGAAGAAAAACAGGTATGGAAATAGTTGGTACAGAAAGAGAAGACAGTGTCAAAAGAAGGGTGGTTCTGAGTTTGGAAGGAATAACGTGGCTGTTGGACTAAGTTCCTATTGAGTATCATCATGACGGACAGGGGAATAAGACTTGAATACAAAGCAGGTCACAGTGAATACCTTCTAAATATGCTTAGATGCTATCTTCACCAAGTGAAGATTTACCTACAGACTTCACTTGACGAAAATGTAAGAAGTAGATCTGTTGGTAATTGAAGTAAATTTGTTGTAATATAAACTTATTAGTTAATATGGCAATAAATGGTTTGTTAAAAGTGAACCATTGAATTGGAATGCCCTTAAAATTTTTCCTTGTTTTCAGTTTGATCTTTTAAAACTATGATTAAATTCTACACACTGAATTCTGCAGACTTTAAATTCTGTTTGCTGTTTTTCTTCATTGTATCAACATATTTTGTTCTTACCATTCTTTAAAAGACAAGTTTTAGCTTGACACATATTTGAAATTCTTTAATCAACATCTAAAACAATTACAGGTTTCTTGCAATGTTACTTTTATCCATGTTTATTTAAAGACTCAGAAAACAAGAATGGGCATTATATGCCTAGAATCTGCTCAGGCAGGTCATCTACAAAATGAAGATAATCCAGTATGTACTCATCTAAACTCTGACCATCCTCTTAAGAGCAGCAATAAAATTAGCACTTCCTATTTCTGCAGTATCAGTATACAGCAGTACTTGAGCTAAGCCTATCGGTCAGGTTTTTCACTGTCTGGTATTTTATGGCTTACTCAACTTGAATTTATGACTACGTGATAAAAATTCTGTATCATGTGAACTGGAAGTTGGATTAGATGGTAGGAAATAATATAGCCTAAAATGAGATAGATTAAAAAAAAATACTTTTAACACTTAATTTGACTGAGAAGTGTTAATGCCCTCCTTGAAGCTAAGAAGGAGCACAGACTTTCTGTCAGTTACTGAAAGAAGTTATGGAACAAACTAGGAGTGATAAAGACTTCTTTTATCTGCAGATAATGAAATACTTTCCAGTTTACCACTACAGATGTCCCTCTATTTCAACGTTTACTTTTTCCCATTTTGGTGGCTCAGCACAGTTGTTATGCTCCAGCTGAAGGTGAGTCCTGAAGGAAAATAATGATTTGCAAGTGTAAATTTTCTTATCAAAACCCGCCAGTACACAGATGGAAGTCACTGGAGTTAGAATTTAGTAGGTATGTTTGGGGGAATCCTTGAAACTGGATTCTCAAGAATATTTGAAAGCTGATATAGCACTGTCAACTTACAGTAGCATACAGTGTGTTCATTTAACAGCTGTGTTCATGTTATAAAGAAGCATGGCAGAAGCTTTTACTCTTTCCTTCCCTCTAGTATCCAGTCTTGTCAGATTACTACAAATTCATCCTGGTCACGATCATGATCCTGACTTCTCTAATAGAGGTCATTCGACTCTACCTGGGATACATGGGCAACCTGCAGGAGAAGGTACGTTATGGTATGAAGGAGAAGGTACGTTACCATATGTATGTTTTAATTTGTAGAGGAGACCTTTTTACAACTGAGCATAAATGAAGCAATCTGCCAGTTCATCTGAGAGATTTATGTTGATTAGATGGTTATTTCTGAGTGATATTGTTTACCTTCTATAACCTTAGCATCAGCTTCCATTAACTTTTGTGGATTTCTCCCTCAGAGGTGACCACTGTCACTCCTTAAAACTTTTTTTAAGATACAATTTCTGTTAAAAACACATGATATGGAAACATTAAACCATCTTATTTTCCATTTCACATTATGTCCTGGCTTTTGGAAGATTTATTTTTAAAAAATAGTTTTCTCTACGAACTTTAGTTCCCCTCTTTTTTTTCCCCCTCATCTCTAACTGCTGGTTTTCAGATGGTGATGTCTCCCTGTTACAGGTCCCTGAGCTGGCTGGGTTTTGGCTCCTGACTCTCCTTCTGCAGTTACCTGTAATTCTCTTCTTGCTATTTAATGAAGGTCTGAACATTCAGCCATTGGAAAGATCAGTTAATATCATCTTTGCCCTCTTCCTCATCTTCCAAGTTATTGCAGCCTTTGTCACCCTGAAAAGAATGGTAAACAAACTGGCAGCTCACTTCCACCTTAATGAATTTGACAGGCTAGAGGAAAACCCTGCGCGTCATCATTATGGCTCAAGTAAAGAAGGGAATATACTTCCCATGGCTAGTATGGATCCATGCTGAGGAGCATCATACAACAAGTTTGGGCTGGGGATCAAACACTTAGGGCCTGAGACACTAGCAGAGGCAGGCCTTATGATGCTGCAACTCTGTTCCATTTTGTTGGGTCATTATCTATACTTCTACTTCAAAGACATTAAGAAATAGACCGTAAGTGCCAACATTAAACCTCAGAGTTGAGCTCCACTCTGCAAGAAAAATCAAAGCCAGTGATGTAAGTTGCTGAATGGACCAATTAATTTGCACACTGTTACTGGGTAAAGTACCTACAGGGTAGGTTTATGGGTTTTACATCTTAAAAAGTCATGTGCCATTTCTAAAGAACAGAAATCTATTTTCCTTACTGTTTGCACACAGACATATTTTGTTTACAATAAATCCTTTTTGTATGTTTGTATTTACATCAGTTTTTTGTCTGTTCTTCCAGATGCTGTAGATATGTAGTTAAGCAAAAACAAGCAAGAATCTTGAAGCCTAGAAAAAACAGTAGGGGTGGCATTGATGAGAGACTACAGCTTGAGGTGGTCTTCCAGATAATTCCAGCACTAGGAATTCCTTACTAATAAACTAGGGTGGAGTTGTGAAAGTATTCTTTTGCTCAAAACTCCTGCACTCCTCCTCTTTGTCTTAATTGGAGTTTTAACTATCAAGCCATTCAAAATGAACGGTGCAATTTTCTCAGACAGAAAATTCAGTAAGTCAGATGTAGCAAAATTATAGACATAAAAAAAATTGGTTTATGTCACAGGACACTACGTATGCCACAGTTCTCTCATTTCTGTTTGTATTGATGTCTAGACTATCATCTTCAGTTTCAGTAATTGCTGAATGCTCATTTT